TAGCAGGCACTGTTCACAAGGCAATGTGAAGTTAACCTGTTGCTAACCTGTTCTGCTCATGAAGAATGAATAGAGTAGCTGTGTTTCTGGCAGGATTGTTACCAGGTTTTTCGTCGTTGTTTCTTAATTATCCACAGGCAGGGAATAACAGTAAAAGGATAAAGTAAAAGTGACATCTGAAAAGGAAGGCTTTTTCCTTCTTCCCTTGGGAACACGTACACAAATCATGGTTCTTCTATTGTAAATGCAGGAAAACTGGGAACAGTCTAGATGTGTTAGTGATACACAAGTTGTACATACAGCATCCTACCATGTTTTCACAAGAAACCATGAATTATGTTTGTACTTAAAAAGATACATTAAAATGTTAAGTAAAAAAAACCCACACAAACGTAAATTCATAGTCAGTTATAAAAATATCTTTGTGTGGCACTTTACACTGTACAGTGCTGAGCAGCTGACGAAGGACAGTCAGGAAAGCAACTGGTATATTCTGGAAAATACTGTGGTCATTTGGGGGAAGGAAAGAGCAACCTTTAAGAGGACTGAAATTGCCGGGTGGTTAACACATGCCTTTAATTTCCATTACTCAGGAGGTGTCATGTAGTGACAGGTCTACATAGTGAGACCCTGACTCAGTACTCTTCCCCCTTCAAAAGAGAAGACTGGAATTGGAATTTGAGAATAACAAAAAGGTGGATTGAATGACACTAAGATGGAATGTCTACTCTGTGTTAAATGTCCCAGAAGATCCTTCAGGAATAAAATTTAAGTTCTCTAGAAGTGGAAAAGTTTCTAGACAAGCTGTAGAGTAGCATTTTCTCAAAGTGCTTGTTTCCTAATTGTTTATAAAGGTTAACATACGCTACCCATAAATAAAAACAGAGAAGCAAATTTGGGAAATATGGGGTTTCATAAAGTGTGATTCTTTTGTGTAGGACTCTAACATAACAAATGAAGAATGAAGGCAGAACATAGGGGAAATCCTTTGATAAACCTGGTTGTCCTGAACTACAGGTTTGTTCTTGTTAAGAGATTACATAGGGATAATACCACAGATGTCAGGTGTGAGGGATGCGTATGTGGTCCTCTGTGAGTGAGTTAAGTACTTTTAGGAGCTAGTAAATCTATCTTTGAGAAAATATTTTTGAGTGAGGATGACTCAGAGTCTTCTGGAACCATACATATTTTGATTTGAGTAAAAATTCACAAAAATCAAGGAGTAATCTTTGTTTTTAACAACAGAAGAATGCTGTATGGGAGAACAGTCAAACCTGAGTCTGCAGCATTTGATTTGTCCTGATTTATGATAACAAACATGACAGCTTTTAGCTGGTTTTAAGGACCTGGCAGATAATGGTGTTGAAGCATAAGCTGATGAAAGTTCTTTGCATTCTTCTCTCCCAATCACTCCACAGCCTCACTACTGAGGTCAACAACGTTGACAACAAACTGAAAAGGATGAGTGTCTGAAAGGCCATTTTCTGTCCATTTCCTAGGTGTGTACTGGGCAGCTCAGGTCTGATACCACCCCTGTATACACTCCGTTCTTGGCATCTGTGACACTGCACTCACCTAGGTTTGCTCCTTGGCTGGTACTTTTCAGCTTGTGTTGCAGGCATGTTGTCTTCTTTGGCTGACTTTGGAATGTTCTGTGCCTGAAGGCCCCATCTTCGGCCTTCTTTTCTTTTGCACTGTGTTAGGTGATGATCCTATAATCTGTGACCATCCCTGTATCCTCTTCTCTATGGTGATGACTCCCAGATGTGGTTTCTTCATCCAAAATTAAGCTTTGCACCGAAGCCACTGAGTATCTTCACACTTGGCTGTCTCACAAGTACATCAAGGTCAAGGTGTCCCAGACCAGTATTTTGATCTCTTCTTCCCAATGTCTGTGTTATAGTACCACCATCTATTATGTTTCCTTTCCAGATTGTCATTGAGGATGGAGGCCAACAAATCTCAGATCACATAACTGTGGTAACTACTTCTGTTCCTGAATGTCCCTCATCCCCACACCTTTGCCCTCCTTTTTACTCTTTTCTGTATAGCGGTCTTCTTTTTGGAATATAAATGGAATTATGACCACCTTTTCTTTGTATGCATGTGGATATGTGTTTGTGTGTATGTCTGCATTGTGTGTGTGTGTGTGTGTGTGTGTACATGTTGAGGCAGGACAAAGTGAATGTTGTTCCTCAAGTGCCATCCACTTTTAAAGAAAATTCTATTACATTTACTGAGGGGGAGAGGAGGGAGATTATGTGGGCATGCATGTGGAGATCCGAGGACAAGTGGGGCGGTTGTGTGTGTGTGTGTCAGTTCTTTGCTTCCACTGTGGATCCCAGGGATCAAACTCAGGTTGTCAGGCCTGGCTGCAAATGCCCTTATCTGGTGAGCTATCTTGTTGCTCCACCTTGTTTCCTGAGACAAGTTCTCTGTTTCTTGGAACGCACCAGGTAGCCTAGGTTGGTTTGCCAATGAGCCCAAAGGATCCACTGTCTGCCTCCCCAGCACTGAGATTACAAGTGTATGCCATGATATTCAGCTTTTTATGTGGGTTCTGGCACTCAAATAGCATAATAGTCCCCTTTCTTGTGATGCATCAGTCACAATGGCCCATTTTCACTATCTCAAGGTACCAGTCTTTTTATTTGGAGCAGCCTCCACCTTATCCTTTCTTTGCATGGCTGCTCCTTCCCATGGTTTAGTCCTGTCTTCTCCTTTGGGAGGCCTTTACTGATCACCCACAGTCTGGGCATCATGAGTTTGTGTGCCTATTCACCCTCCTATGACTTCAGAGCATGAGTCTCAATGCTTTCTGGTTGAAAGAATATGCAAGTTAATGAATTCTAAGCTAAAAATATCCCCAGAAGGTGACTGGCTGAATTTTTATTATATTCCTTTATATTTAATATTGGTAAGAACAGAGTAGTCATTTTCATAAATATTAATTCTGCACAGTGCTATGACAGATTAGTGAGATTTGTGATGTTAATGACAGACAACTACAATACTGTAGGGTTGGTAAGTAGGCATTATACTGGTTCATCAGAGCACCTAGGACAGAATGGGCATCTTTTATGGGTAGTTCTGAAGGGCTATGACTTTTAGTGGGGTTTTTCAGTATGTCCGTGGCCATGAGCCTGTCAGATGGGTTAGGGGGAGGTAGAAGGGTATTCATACTCAGGTGCAATGTTGCAGTGGGGGAATGATGTTGAGACAGCCAAGTGTCCCTTGATTCCCTAAGTCTGTTACTGTCCTATTCCTGACAGCAAGTTTTGAGAAGCTGGATAGCTACTTAGTTCCTGAGTTTCCATAGTAAGAGTTCGGGTGTGGGCATGGTTGTAATAAAGTGTATCATAGAAGACATCGGGGTTTATAGCCAAAGATACGGTAGTACAGAACACCACATGAAGGGTGGGACTTCTCAGAGCTACTGGAAGATCCCAGATAGGTAGCTGGTCATTTGGTTACTTTTTCAGAAAAATCATTGTGGTGAGACTATAAAGGAGCATACTGAGGGCTGTGTACTTGAGGCAGAGAAGCATGTTTGGAAGTCTGAGTGTGTAGGTGAGGGATGCATAACAAGGGAACAGATAGACAACAGGGTGAGACTGGAAGACTCAGACATTTAAAGCTTCAGTAACTGACGGGAAGAGGGGAGATGGACTTGATGTCTGCTGGCCTGAGGCCTGCATAGGTAGAGGTATAGTTTACTAATGTAGAAGGAACTGATGAGGATCGTATCCTAAGAGGAGAGGTGATAATTTTTTAAACTACTGATTTTCAAGTAATGGTCCAGCATTACAATGGTCTTGGATGCGTCTTCTCAGGAGATAACTACTAGAGATCTTAGTCTGGAATTTAGGATCATGATCCTAAAAGAATCAACCAAAATTGTTGGTGTACTTGGCAGAGTGCAAATAGACCTTGAGGAGAGGTTGCAGAGGGAGAGAGAGCCAAGGATGGAACGCTGGAAAATGTATTTAAGATGTTAGTGAAAGAGGATCTGCAGTTGTAGGAAGATGACAGTGTGGACTTCTCAGAGAAGGAAGTAACTGCAGTCTCAGTAGCCAGAGACTACCGAGTGCATGACGGAAAGTTCCTTGATCATGAGCTGATTACTTTCTGTGACTACAGATTAAACTTCCACCTGTCCCTAATTGTTGGCAAAGTATCTTAGTCAAAGTATGTGTATAGATTGATTCCCATCTCTAGAAACAGTACGCCAAAGTATGAGAAAGGCAGCATATTTTCAGGTAAATACATTTCTTAATTTTTATAACAGTTAAATTGTAAAGCACTGTATTTGGTCTAGTTTTATTACTTACTTATTCGCATCCCAATGATTACATTTTTTAAAGACAACATGCTTTTAATTTACACCTGTGTGTCTAACACTGCAGTTAAAGGAAGATGTGCAGCCAGAGAAGGCAGATATCTTTGGTGCAATCTCAGTAAATGTCCTTGGTAGTCTATCTTCATGTCAAAGTTGGCCTTTGGTTTGATCAGGCTGTGAGAGATACATCCATGCCAACTCAAAATACTAATTTTTAGAAAGCCAAGTGTGGATGTTAAAAAAAAAGTGACACAGGTAGGTCGGCAGAGACAGTGATGAGAAGACATAATGAGTTGAAATGTGAGCAGGAGGTGGTGTGGAGACTGTGGGGTCTGAACAGTTGGTATTCAGCTGGGTAATCTTTGATGATGGGGGAGTGAGAAGATGTACTTTTCTGTTATATTCAGGGTCCTGTTTAAGGTGCTGTGGATACAGTTTATCTGTCATTGAGGACCCATAGTACGTAGGTAGTGTGTAAGGTACAGAGCTGAGTATGTCTGTCTGCATTACAGGATGTAGCCACCTGCCTTAGGACAAGGGCCAAGAACTGACAACACCTTTCTTGTAAGAGAACTACTGCAGGATGTGTAAGGCCATGCATTTGTGTAAATGGGTATGTAAATAATTAGAACGCTATAACAAATTTTCTTTGATTCTTTAGGTTCTCCTGAAAAGAAAGTTGAGCATTCTACAAATAAAAAGAACAGTACTTCAAACCCTACCAAAAATGGAAAAGTTGGTCCCATATGTAAAGATCAGCAGACTGCAAAGAAAACCTCAGAGAATCCATCAGTACGGGCACAAATACAGAAGGGGAATGATGATTCTGAAAGTGATTTTGAGTCCGATCCCCCTTCTCCTAAGAGCAGCGAAGAAGAGGAGCAAGAGGATGAAGAGGTTCAGGGAGAACAAGGAGACTTTAATGATGACGACACTGAGCCAGAAAACCTGGGTCACAGGCCTCTCCTCATGGATTCTGAAGATGAGGAAGAGGAGGAGAAACATAGCTCTGATTCTGAGTATGAACAGGTTAAAGCAAAGTATAGTGACATGAACCCTGTGTACAGAGGTACATCTGGTGGTGGGCAGAGCCCAGACCCTAACATAGCACTCCTCCCCCCAGCCCTCTCACCCTCTGAGGCAGAGACGCCCCATCAGGAGTTTGATGTGTTTGGTGCTGTTCCCTTCTTTGCAGTGCACACTCAACAGCCCCAGCATGGTGAAAATGAGAAGAATCTCTCCCAGCAGACATTTCCAGAGCAAGAAGAGTTCGATGTGTTCTCAAAGGCACCCTTCAGCAAGAAAGTGAACGTACAGGACTGCTCTGCAACACGGCCTGAGGCACTTAATCTACCCAGCCAGCCCAAAAGTGTAGACATATTTGGCTTCACACCCTTTCAGCCCTTTTCCACATCAACAAGTAAAAGTGAAAGCAAGGAGGACCTTTTTGGGCTTGTGCCCTTTGAAGAAATAACTGGGAGTCAGCAGCAGAAAGTCAAACAGCGTAGCTTGCAGAAACTGTCCTCTCGGCAGAGACGCACAAAGCAGGACATGTCCAAAAGCAACGGGAAGCGCCATCACGGCACCCCAACCAGCACAAAGAAGACTCTGAAGCCTCCCTACCGCACCCCTGAGAGACCTCGCAGGCACAAGAAGGTGGGCCGCCGAGACTCGCAAAGCAGCAATGAGTTTTTAACCATCTCAGACTCCAAGGAGAACATCAGCGTTGCACTGAATGATGGCAAAGACAGGAGCAATGTTCTGCAACCTGAGGAGGGTCTGTTGGACCCCTTTGGTGCCAAGCCTTTCCATCCTCCAGACCTTCCATGGCACCAGTCCCATCAGGGCCTGAGCGACATCTGTGTTGATCACAATACCATCTTGCCTGGATGGCCAAGACAGAATTCATTACATGGGTCATTCCATAGTGCAGATGCGTTGAAAATGGATGACTTTGGTGCTGTGCCCTTTACAGAACTTGTGGTACAAAGCATCCCGCCACATCAGTCCCAACAGTCCCAGCCAGTTGAATTAGACCCATTCGGTGCTGCTCCATTTCCTTCTAAACAGTAGATACAGACGGCTCTTGGAATTAACTCCTGTTTCAAAAAAGTATGAATAGTTTTATGAATTTGAAAGAAAATTTATTTGTATAGTTGTTTGTATCATTCATTCTTACAGGTTAATCAGGATAGCTGATTTTAAAGTAAACCAAATAGAAGAAGGAAATCTCTCTACAGGTAGCTAGTTAATGCATCTTTCAAACAGGAGGGAGCTAATCTGAAAGCTCTGAGGCCTTCTCTGGTATAGTGGCACAAGAGATGCAGGCGTGGTACTGGGAGGGAAAGCACAGGGAACCGTGCAAGTGTGCAGCCAACCAGGAGGGACAGGAAAGAGGGGCCGCTTTTCATATCAGAACGTCACTTATGTGCACATCCCAGATCCAGCCTTCAAACCAGGCTGACTTGTACATGCAGGTTGTGTTTATGAATGCTCAGAAAGGTCTTTTCTCTTTTCCACCCAGAAGAAAAGTTGAGCTCTCTGGAAGAATCAGCACAGTATCTGCAGAGTGCAGACCAGTTCATACACCTTTCTCTACAAAGCAGAGCCAGAAGTAACTATTGTGCCTACAACTCTGCTGCATTCTTCAAAACAAGTGCCATTAATATGGAATATCTAATAAGTATATGAAATAATGTACATATTGACTCAGTTTAGCTCTTCTGTAGTGCATACATCAAACCATGTAGGTAGGTGATAAAAATATGATTTTTAATCTGTCAAAAAATAAATTTTTAAAAATATGGAATGCTTAATAGAAGCCTACAGCAAAAATATAAAGAGCGATATCTGGCATTTGAAAAATGTAAAAGAATGGTATGTAAAAAAGAAAAAAGTGAATACTTTAGAAATACTCTATATTGTTTTTGAATGGCTTCTTGCCAAAACCTTTTTCCATCATGTCCCCAGTGAAGCACAGTGATAAAAAGTGGGGGGACAAGGGTTATATAGAAATTTTATTTCAGGAAATATGTAGCTGAATCCTTAAAAATTTAATGTTTACAGTGGAAAATCATGTTGGATTTAATAATGTTCCTTATAATTACCACCTTCACCAAATATTCCCCAAGTTATGAGCACCAATTATTTTAGTTCGGGTGGGTGAAGTAGTTTTAATAAAGTGCACAGAACAGTGACACTGATAAAGCCTTACTGGTGGGACGCACACATCCTGCTGCCAGGACCTCTGCACGAACAGCCAGACCACAGTGGGTAAGGATTAGATTGAGGGACTAGGGACTTAATTCTGCTAGCTGTCTGCATCTTTAGTGAAAAGAACCCAGCTACCAAATTGCCTTTCTTTATACCACCAATCATAATCAGAAACTTGAAATTTTACAGAAATTGCTTTTAATGATAGCAATTATGTATGAATTAATGTGAATATACTATCTGTGCTTGTGTCTGTTTTGTTATAACTGTCTGTCTCTATCAGACTAACATTTAGAAGTTTCTAGAATTGTTAACAGCTATTTACAAAAAGGGATAAACTTTTATCACTGGCATTCTCCTTGATTGCTCTATTTTAAATTAAGTATCTTTACCCTCAATTAAAGTGTGTCTTCTGGGTAATCTTATTAAAATCTCTTACAGTGCCCAGTAGGATAAATTATTTGCCTATTTCCACAGTTCTGAACTTGGAATGAAGCAAAGTATATGTAACTCAATCACACATTCAGCTCTTACTGCTGCCTTTTGTCTTCTGCATGTTCAAATCAGTTTGAAAAGTGGCTGGGAAACAGTATATGAATCACAATGTAGCAGAGGCAGTCAGGCATTATGTCTCTACCTAGAGCTGCAGCATACCAATCACTGTCCTTGTGCCAAAGGAAAATACTGTTTGCACCTTTTTTTCTGATTCTCAGGTTAATTAACATTGCTAATACAAATGTTCAAGTAGGTCTTTTTTAAACTACAAAATAGATTCAAGTGAAACTTTCTATTAAGAGTTGATTACACACAGTAAATTTGTGAACTACACAGTAGGTTTTGTATCAAACAGAAGATGTTATCATTTAGAAGGGTAGTAGATGAACTCATGTGGTCTCCTGAGATGTAAATATGAAATTGTAGTTTTATGTGTTCTTCAATACACTGAATTAAGTGATTACTGATGTAGACACTTTAACTTGTGCTGGATAAATTCTTCGAAAAGAACTCTGCATAGCTTAAAATGTTTACATTGTTGTTTATTGTAGCAGTCTGGTGACTTCCTCTTTTGAGACTAGCTCAGAGGAAAGATTTAGTATTTAACAAAGATCCAGTGGGACAGTTTTTTTGTGTTGACGTCAGAGGCATTTTCTCAAGGTGTAGAGATTCGGACTTCCATATTCAGTCTTCCCACCTACCACTGTCACTCCATACAGCTGATGCTAGGGTCAAATTCCTTTATGAGAATTAAACTCCCAAGGCATGTAAAAGCATTTAGCCAGTATCCAGCACGAGTGGCTCTATTATGGGATGGCCCAGTTCTGGTTTAAGGAATGTCAATTGGGTGTGCCCTGTGCTTCTAAGTAAGCAAAGTAGTCATAACTCTAAACCTGTTATACTTGAACATCACTAAGGGAAGTAACATTAAGAACCTAGTAAGAATCTACGGCCAAAGTTGTTTCCTAGCAGCTTTAATATTGCTTGTTAACTTTGAATCATGTGTTAAAAAGTGGACCATCTGTTTAACTTTCATTACTTCACTAAAATGTTAGTACTGGGAAATACCAGCTTTTGTAGTAAAAAAAAAAAAAATGTATCTGCTAAGATGTAAAAATTGCTCAGTATATACAGTTGGAGGAGAAAAAGTTTGTCATAAGCTGGATGAAAATGTAACTGACTAGAACTGTAAGCCCCTCACCCTGTATGTGTGCACTTGGGTACAGTTAGTGAAAAACGTGGATTCAGAGCAATGCACCTTTCAGTCCTACCCTGTTTCCTGTTTAACAGGACCGACTATTATGTCCATCTTGCTGGTGGAATACAGAGGTGGAGTCCGCTCTTCTGTGCTGGCATTCACCAAGCAGACTGGTCTGAAGGCTCAGCCACTTGCTGGGTTTATCTTAGGTTTTGGTACTTCACATAAGCACTGTTAGAAGGTACAAGTGTATTAGTGTCACTAGTTCTGAAGAGTTTGGGTACATTTGTTCTAATATATACAGAATGTGTAGTGAACTTTTTCTTTTTTAGCAGAACTAGTCTCATCAATTTAGGTCCAATTATTGACAGTCTACTGTGAGAAGGAGATGACATATCTACTGTGAGAATAGCAAATGATTGTTTGAAGACTTTCATACTCAGTGGTGTTTTTATTAAGACACATACATGCATGTATATCACATCTCTACTATGGAGTTAATGTGAATTTTTAAAAAATGGCAATCATGTTTTTTTAAAAAAAGAACATTCACTACTAGTGAGGGTTTACAGAAGCCACTAAAAGAAGGAAGGAGATGAAAATACAAAGGGTCATCATTTTAGTTTTTTTTAATTTTCAGAATTGTGTTATTACTATGCTCTTTTGTTTTTGAAAAGTTTCATTTAATAGAAGTAGAAGCAACTTGTTTTTTTCTTTTGTGGTGCTGGGGATTGAACTGGGGCCTTGCACATGCTAGGCAAGTGCTCTACCACTGAGCTACACCTCCAGCATGGAAGCTACTTTTTAATTGCTGGCCAACAGCTTTAAGTGCACTTTCTTTGATTACACTTCCAGTTTTGTTAAACTTGAATTTTCTGAAGCCTTTTATGTACCACTAGCAAATAACTTTAACCTTTAAACAAACAGGACTTACATCTTTTAGTTTTGTTCTAATTGTTTTAAATAAACTTGCTAAAGTAACTTAAGTCCTCAGAGATAGTTGGGAAACTGTTATGAAATAGAATTCAGTTGCTCTTCACCTCGATACCTAATTAAGCACTAATTTTATTACTTTATTGCCTTTACAATGCTTATTCTTGAATTCTATCCTTGATTGACTATTGTGTTTGAAATTTAAAGTTATTTTCTTACTGTATTTATCATACCTACTGTTTTAATAATCTGCCTTCTTTAAATGCAATAAATCCCAAATGGGTTGCTTATTCTTTATAATCAGTGACTCTGGAGTTTTTTTTTTTTTTTTTTTTTTTAATTATTTGTCTTATTAAAAGTTTCACTATAAGCTTCTATACAGTTCATTCTCACCCCAGGATTGTGAATCTGTTCTTAAAGATTTATGTTGGGATTTATATAAGAAAATTTACTTGACTTTATTTCTCTGCAAGAAGAATACTTAGGAGCACAACTATCACAGCTCTACTGATGCTTACTGTGATGATAAGGTCAGAACGTAAGATTTTTAACACGCCTCCTGAATAACTTGTTTGGCATAGTTTCCACATTGTTACTTACTTTTTCAACTCTTAAAAGATTGTTAAAAATATTTGATTAAATATTTTAGAACTTGACTATGTCAGAAAAGAGGCTTTGGCATATTAAAGAGATGAGCTATGTCATCACTAATGCTGGTGAAGGAGTTGCAGTATTGTGGAGTATAGATTGGTGGCTTGTAGCAGTTCCTCAGTCATGACCAAGGTTCATCTTATTTCATATGAATGAAATTCTGTTTTGAAGTAGTAACATTTATCTAAAGTTTAGCTAGTACAGAGTAATAGTGTATCACTCACTGTTTAAATTCAGTTATAGTTAACTCTTCAAGGAATATATGGTTAAATTTGAGCTATTTATTTTGAACAATTCCTTTTTAAGGAAGCCTAGGCCAATCATCACACTTAGCATGCAGTCAATATTCTCAGATTGAAGGTCTTTGAAATTGTGAAGCATGTTAAGACAGGTAGCATGTACGGAAACATATAAGGAAGTCTAGCTTAAGCATCACACTTAGCATGCAGTTAACATTCTCAGACTGAAGGTCTCTGATCTTTTGACATTCTGTTGCATGTTAGGACAGGTAGCATATAGGGCTGGCACAACCGAGATTACCTGCATGCTGGGCAGTAGTCTGATGCCACATCTGTAGAGCAGGACGAGGTCCTTGGTGGCTGTTCACATAAGCTGTGTAAGGGTACAGAAGTTCAGTCTCCTCAAGAGAGCCCTACTGTTATTTCTCTCCTTCCAGAAAAAAAGTTTTAAAGGGTAAGTTTCAGCTTATCTCATTACACTATAGAAATATATTACAAAGTTTCAGGAGACCTTGGTGCTACAGAACATCTGTATTTCTTTTCAATATCAACACAGTTATTGTGATAATACATAAAGAAGACACTTCCTAAGCTTCCCTAACAGCTGAGCTGATTCTTCACATACTGTTAGGGGTGGTGTTAGCAGGAATGATTTGGGGGTGGTATATATAGACTACTCAGCACTGGCAAGAATCTGAAAGTGCAGACTTGGCCCTTTGTCATTTAATACAGGGCAAAGTATATCTCTAGTAGGTACCAGCCAAGTGAAGAGTTGTACAGCTTTATGCCAGTCAAGTATAATCTTCAAATTGGATGTTCTGTCCAGGTGGGTTGCCATAAGGTATGACAACCCCTGATTCTTCATTTCTGACTAAAATATAATTTTAAGCTGTTATGTATCACAAAGAATGACAAGCAGCACTTACGTTTAACAAACCCAGTTTATTTACATAATACATGTTTTGCCATGCAGCTTTCCAAATCACAATGTAATAAGCAAAAAGAAAGCAGTCTTGCTACTTGAAAATGGCTTTATGTCAAAAGATGTTTCTTGAGTTAATTGAGTTTCTATAAATTCTTATAATTTAAAGCAGTCATAGATAATTTTTAAATATGCTTTTAAAGTCTGTAGCTTTTATAGCTTACACATAGGTAAAATTAAGACTTTTATACTGTGTAGCTAGATAATATACTTTTCATCCTATTTTAATAAACTGATAAAAACAATATATATATATATATATACATTATTACAAGGCTCAGATTTGTAAGCAATTGTCAAATATTCTTTAATGTGAATAATTTCTTAAAATCTTTACCAGTAGTGCTATGCACACAGTAGGTGGTCAATAAATGCTGATATACAGAAGTGTTTTATAGTTGACAGCAATCCACAGTCACTCATTCCTTTATAATAAATACATTATAAAGATAAAAATGAGGATGATGGGTTTTCTTACAATGTTGAACATTTTTAGAGAACACCAAAATGCTCATGAGAAGTAACTGCCCCTACAGTCGGACCTATGTTACTTAAATTCAAAGAGTGGTTGTTTGAAAAATGTAGCTCTTTTATGTATTAATACATATGGCAGTTATTAAAGAATTCATACACTATGACAAGAAAGGAATAAGGCATTTTAAGAATTAAAACAAGACAGCATTTTTTGAGAAGGGTTCATAATGAAAATGGCTTTACACCTAAAAAAATCACTGACTTTTCTCTCATTTTTCAGTAACTAATAACCATTTAGTATATTTCTTCTGGCCAAAATGAAAAAAATGTATACTCAAGAACAGTATTGTGTAAACCAATAAAGAGTATCTTTGAAGAAATATTATTTTGATACATCCAAATCATCTAAAATTGCACATATAAACTGATTTTTTGGCCTGGCCTAACGAGGTTACAGCCATTCAAAGTAGTGGGTCCAGCCTAACAATGGCTGTGGCAGAGTGAATGTCTTTACTGAGCTGGTCTGGGAAGAATTCTTGCTGACATCCCAGCATGGGGAATTTATATTCCCCAACACTACTCTACAAAGAAACATTTTCTAGATGCAGGAACTGAGGCGCATCAACCTTCCTAATACTGGATGTACAAAAGGCATTTTGGGAATAAATTTCATTATCAATCAAATTTTTTTATGATTTACTAGTTAATTCTATTTTCCTGAAACTATACCAGTGTTTAAAACAGCTTAACTCATTAAGAAACCAGTCATAACATATATTCCAATAATAAAAAATGTTTTTATGAATACTGTAAAGGATTTAATTTATGCATTTAAAAAGACCAAAAGATAATAGTTCTACTGTATGATAGGGCAGCGAGATCTGCTATTAAGTATAGAGACTAATGCTACAGGTCTGAATTTTACATGGTGTTTACACATTGTTATCAATGAAATGCTGTATAAACACAGGAATAGAGCAGAGGTGACTATAATTTCATCATCAAACGGAACATCTGCAGGACTGTTCTAAGGCTTAAGGTACATTTCAGGGTCAAGATGGGGCCACCTAGATTCTGTGGCCTTGAAAGTAGCACCCATATAGTTGGGAACCCATCATCAGGAAACTTAGGACTACAGATTTAGAGATGAAAGTTCTTTTGGAACTTTGGGTTCAAAATCCACTCTCAAGAATTCAATTATAATATGGAATTAAATAAGAATGTGTTGCTCAGTCATGTCCCTAGTTTCAAATCTAATCATCTTTTAAAAAACAATATATGCTTATTTCTTCTTCTCAATGCTTCTCTCAAAGGACAAATTTAAAATTCTATGCAGGCAAACTGAACACTCCAATGTTCCTAAGGAGAGGATAACTGCAGCTAAAGGAAATAATTTAAGTGCCAGTTTCTCACAAACTGTTTATGGAAAGGTTATGACTATTCAGAATCACCATTTAGCTTGTAGCAAGCACAGGCTATATAATAACCCTTGCCTTGATTAGGCACTTAAAATTTTGATTATTTAATGAAAATACCCTCTGTTAATCATACAGAATGACTCCATGTTAAATGGAGAGAGCCCTTCCTAAGAAAATGAAGCTGGTGTTAAGTAAAGTGAATCCTGTATCTACAGAAGTTTCACATTCATTGGTGCTGTTCAGATGTTTCTTAACGATCACCATCAAATTTTTACTTTCTGTACAAGTGGCAAATCAGTTTCAAGAGTCACACAGCAGTTATTACTACAGACCTTACGCATGTTTTTCCACTTTTATAAAGCACGGTGATACATTAAACAAGAGGAAAAAAGAAAAATGGGAACCTAAGAGTGGGGTCTACAATTCCCTACACTGCTTAACAACTGAAGTTACCAAGTGGCCATACCTGAATTCACAGGTGTGAAACATAGTCAGGACAAGGCTTGCTATGTCTGTACTGCATGACATACACTGTTGACTGATGCCACCAATATAACATCACTACTGCAAGGATATGCCATATCTGGTGACTTGATCCGAGGTAGTTTAGTTGTCCTGGAAGGGATGAAAGAAAGAATGTTGACTGCATTATTTCAGTATTAAAAAGAAAAATATACTTCTACCTCTGGCCTTTGAAATAAGGCTTAGAAGTATGAAAACTTTGGTAGTCCTGTCATTTGAGTTTAAGGTTTTATTCCTTAATTATACAAATAAATTTCAGAAATTCTATTTCCAACTTTGTTTTTAAATTTTAATTTGTGGGGGCCAGTGAAATGGCTCAGTGGGTAAAGGGTGCTTGACACTTAGCTGGACAGACCTTAGTCTGATCCCTGGAACCCGAGGGGGGGGGCAGGGAGAGAGAAAAAAAGGGAGAGAGGGGAGGAGGAAAGGGGAGAGAACAGAGAGAAATGACCCTTGAAAGTTGCCCTCTGACCTCAACATGTGCACTGTAGCATGACCTCCACACATACACGTACACACACACCACAAAATAAATATTAAAGTGTTTTTGAAAATGTAGCTTGTTTAATTTCAGGACTTTGACCTTCTACATCTCAACACGTATTTGGTGAAAGGAGGAAAAACAATAGCAAAAAACAACTATTGCCTCTATGAAAGAGACAAAAAGAAAGCAATGTTACAGATCAGGGAGTCATTTAGGCATCAATCTGCCTGGCTAGGAATGAACCGACTAGAAGTGCTTTACACAGATAAGAAGAAAGTTCACACCTAACTAACACAAATGTCTTTAAAACTTCTTTAATTAGAACAGAGTTAACTAAGGTTGTCTAGTTCCTATACAGTTTTAGCTCTTGTAGTTAAATGTTAAATCCAAAGGGATCAGATCATTAGCACCTGGGAAGTTTCCTGGGGTTTCTCTGCAGAGCTGGCCCACCACATGTCAGCTTTCCCTTACTCATGGCACTTCTATGGTGGTTTCATGGAAGTGTTCTCTAACCTCTCTTTTTTCTCAGCAAGAATAATACAGAACACAGATTTTAAAGTGGAAGGCAACAGGTTCTTTCTGGGTGGGCTTTTATTCCTCTGGTGCTATGGACTCTTTTGACTCCCAGTAAAGTCTATGGATTCATTTAAAAAATATAAAAGATCACTGTCTTGTAGTTTCTGTACCAATGATCAACTCAATTCTATTGATGGACATGTTGTGGATCCTTGATCTACCGAACATCAATATAGATTTATAATATTTCTAAAAATTTAACCTGAGCCACTCTTACTTTTAAATTTCCCAGTGTTCACTGTCTGCACTGCCCATATTTCTCTCATACATGAGATAAGATATATATATATATACCTGAACATTTGAGACTATCTTAAGACTTGAGGTTTTTAAAATATTTTTATTGAGTTCTTGTGAATTTCATATAATAGATGTTAATCAAATTTAGATCCCCTCCCCCATCTGCATCACACCATCGTGCCCACCACCAGATTTCATGCATTCTGTCGTATATGTTATGTCTTGTCTGGTCAAGCATTTGTACCCAAATGCCCCATGAAGACTTGAGTTTTTATTGTGCCTTCATCTCCACTACATCTCCACCACACAGCTACATGGACACAGCTCATGACTAGCTCATTATGAAGAAAGCTACATAACACTGGATCTTTTCCTGTCCTACATGAGACAGTTCTTAACAGGTTTGAAAATGGCAAGGCTAAAACTACTTGGTCATATCACACAGTATAGCATATTTGTACTTGCTATGATGAAGAAATAGAATTAAACATGCATGTCATTTAAAAAATTCTATTTGCAGTGCTAGGTAAGTGCTTTTCCACTGAGCTACACCTCTAGCTCTAGAAGCTTTAAAAGAATAAAAGTGATGCAAAAGTGTACCAGAATTGTGGTTTTGGGTATGGGCCATGTCCTGTCCTGGTTATGTTCCCAAATCCTAACGTTTGCACACTCAGGTTTTCATTTCATCCCCATTCATACTTAAAGCTCAGAGGTGAAAAACAAGTGTAGAGGAATGCTTGTGGACGCCTGTCTAGACTGGGGCTTCTCACTCTCTCTACTTCCCCAGCATGTATGAGAATGGTACAGTGCCACCTCTAATTCATCACAGAAACAGTGTGGATATAATCCCCCACTACTCCAAATTATATAATTAGTTTTCTCAGATACAGGCAAATCTGCAGTCAGCATAGCCACAGTGACATGGATATATGTCTCCCCCTTCGAAAGCCTTTATGATCACCCATGTATCTGCCTAAGTATTCTGGAGGTGATTCTTAACCCAGGAAACTGGGACAAATATTCAACTTGGATTTAAACTGCTACTTGACGCCAGTCTTCTAAACTTAAAAATCACTGTTTTAGGTCCTCTTAAATGTTACTCTTGTCCTGTAAGGCTCACCTGAACGTGCATCATTTTTTCAAACCACTTTACTTACTTTATATATACAACCAGAGGGACCTCTGACAATGGCTGAGTGCTTACTAGCTTACTATCCACCTAGGAACTCTGCTGTTATTTATTTATTTTTTTAATCTTTTTGAGACAGGGTCTCTCTGTAGCCCCAGCTGGCCTGGAACTTATTATGTATACCAGGCTGGCCTCAAACTCACAGAAATCCACCTGCCCTGCTTCCTGAGTGTTGGGATTAAAGGTATGCACCACCACGCCTGGCAGAACTCTGCTATTTTACAAGCATATTCTCTCTCATCTAATCCTCAGTACCACAGGAGAAAAAGTGTTATATCCTTGTTTCAGACAAGGAAACTGGGCTGAGAGCTTACTATCTTATTTAACATATGTGGCTAATAAGTGGCCACTGCAGCATTTGAACTCTTGCAGTCTGACTCCAAAGCTATAGCGCTAAAACAGCAAATACATGCTTTAGAGAAGTCTAAACTTTAAAAGAAGCGAATATATGCTTTAGAGAAGCTCTGACTAGTGGCCTCTTGGGTATTTTCCACGAGAACTAGCCCCACCTACAACTGAAGAAAAGGGAAATCTACCCTTTTCCTGAGTAGCTGGCTTACAAGACCTTGGGGCTATGAAGATCTTTTACTTTTGTTTTCTTAGCTCTGGTGTTAGGAAGCTGAAAGCCAGACTTGTGACCTTTATCAGTTGTGCAGAACCTATGTGAGGTGTACAGGGCAGTTTCCGCATCCCGAGGAATACATTCTAAGACCTTACAGTGCCTATGCTGCAGATAGTTAAAAATTTTATATGTAGTATTTTATTTCCTATACAGACTACTGATGACAGTGTTTAATTTACAAATCAGAAAAGGACTAGATTAACAATGATAAAATATAACAACTGTAGCAACATACTATAAAAAGGTCTATGGGTGTGGTCTTTCCTCTCTTTGGAGTCATTTCAAGTAACTGAAATCACAGAGAAGAGGGCGCCAGTGTTTGGAGAAGTGATCTCAAACCTGGCTTCTTTTCACCATGCGTCTCATCTTTTGTCTCTTCTCTTCCCTTAGATTTTGCTTTATGTATCTCTGAAAATGAAAATTACCTTTAAGAACAAGTTAGACTCTAAAAAAAATGGCAGCTAATGGTAGTACTCCACAGTCTGAGAGTCTCGGTGCCAGCTTTGTCACACATTCATAGCTATGAAACAGTGGCACCCAGCCACTGGACCCTATTCATCCTGTAAGCACAACACGAAAAGTCTGTGAAAGCCCTTTGAAATCTAAAGTTGTAGACAGTGCTTAGGCATGGAGGAACTACTCTGTAATCAGTGTCTGAATTTTGATTCTCTGAAGCAATGACTTCAAGCATGTGTTCAGAATAAACCTGTAAAAGAGAAACATACCTGGGAAGTACCGTTCTGGAACTTTGGAAATGTAGAACAGGAAAGCAAGAAGAGCAATCACGTACATCACAATTACTCGGGGTGCAAAGTCCTGAAAAGCAAAGCATGTTTTCTTAGATTTTCTTATGGCTGTTGAGATCTCATAGACTGCCAAGTGGAACTGAAGACCGCTAAATCTTAATTATCCTGAAGAGTCTCCAATAACAGAAGGACTGCGCTCATTCTGCAGTCCTTGGAAATGGAGCACGGTGGATGTCCACAAGCTCAGGCTCTCACACTGCTGATGCTCCACAGGGTGCTCAACTCCTCCACCATGTGGATAAAGAGTAGAAAGTACCCCAGAGCAGAGACACCAGCTGAGCAAGAAGAGATTAAAGAGCAGGCAGAAAGAGATTTAAACAGTCCTATCCAAGACAGAAAGAGCTTCCAATACCCCAGATAAACAGGCTGGAACATTATTACTACATGAAGCACTCCACGTCACTGCTGATGCTCTGTTGAGATATTTGCCCGACTCTTGAGAAAATCAGCGAGCTGGAACATACACACATTGTTCCTAATTCTGGTTACAAACCTAATTTACCAATAATTCATTTAAGAAATAAAGACAGAGTCAGGCGTGGTGGCACCTGCCTTTAATCCCGGCACTCATACTTGGGAGGCAGAGGCTTGGTCAGTTTCTGACCAGCTGAGGTTACAGGGAGGTCCTATCTTTAAAAACAAAACCAAAAAACAAAAAAATATAAAAATATAAAATAAAAACGAATGATTTCTCTTTCCAAGTAAGAGGATGATCAGCCCCTGCTAAGCCCTATATTCTTCAGATTCATCAACCTCAGGTTTCTTTTTTTTTTTGTTTGTTTTGGTCTTTTTGAGACAGGGTCTCTCTGTAGCCCCAGCTGTCCTGGAACTATGTAGACCAGACTGGCCTTGAACTCAGAGATCCGCCTTAAAGGCATGTACCACCACACCCAGCAACCTCAAGTTTCTTAACCAGTCTAGAACATGGCTTCACCCATCTGTTCAAATCAACCATTCCAGAAATTTCATTATTGGTAAGGGTATCTTTATCCATCTTTTAAAAATGAGAGCTCTTTAGAGAATTTTTTAAAAGCTTCCTTGCTAATGTGGCCTGTCATCACACTAGAATTCCTTTTTTGAGAACCATCTTTATAAGCCAGATTTCTATTTAAGTTTTGTGACTATAAGAATATTCTTGGCATGCATGCCTTTAATCCCAGCACTTGGGAGGCAGAGGCAGGCTGATCTCTGTGAATTCAAGTCCAGCCTGGTCTACATAGCAAGTTTCAGGTCACGTGGGGCTATAGGCAGACCATTTCAAAAAGACCAAAAAAAAATATATATATATATATATTCTTGTATTTTTAGAAATTTCCCTAAAATTTATTGGCTTAAAGGACTTGCTTTTTTATCATTATAAACTTAACAGAAAATGTGTTTACCACCTCCAAAATTAAATCACTTTGTATCAACTACCATTTACTCATTTCTAGTTAAATTAAACCTCAGGTAAGCAGCTTCATGTTCTATTTTTTATTCTTACAGTGAAAATGGTGTCCTCATATGCAGCAGGGTCCCCCCATGGCTCTCATAACTACTGTCAGCTTTCTTCCCGTGTCCTATTCTTCCTTGAATTAGCCAGGCCACTCAATTCACTCTAACACAAAACCACCTTTTTTTCCATTGATTTACCCAAGTATTTTCTTCTCTGTCATCAACAACATCTTATAAGTAACTACAAGCCAAGGTTCTTTCAGAACATACTTCTTGTTTATAACCCTCAACAGTGCAGGGCTCTCTTTCTCCTGCATATCCCTTATTCCCTGATCTGATTCAAGAGCTCTTCTTTTATTGCTCAATATATTTTCCTTGGTGGACTGAATATGCTTTTCTTGTTCCAGCTACCAATAAGATGATACTGTGAAATTTATCACCAGTCTCAAAGTTTGGCCTAAATTTCAAATCCTTTGCCTGCCTTTGCATCCCTTAGGTACCTCAAACTCGACAGGTCCAGTTAAAAAAAATTCTTCTTAATTCCTCATGCCTCACCCCCAAGAGAAATCAATTATTCCCAGTTCTACAATTTGTCGTTGTTGGCATTCTAGCAAAGCTAGAAACTGTGAAATTCTCCAGAGAAGTACATACCAAGAAACTGAAGACCTAATAATGTCATTTCATAGGATGAGACATCAGAAAATAACAGTAGTGAGACTCATTTCTAATTCTGAGAGCTATGCCTATGTATATAGTTGTGGAAACTGTGGTTTCAGTATGCAACTAAAAATAGGCTCTCCCAGGACACAAAGCTACCCACGGCCTGATTATACCACTTCAGCCAAGAAATAAAAGATTACTCAACCTACCTGTACAATAGGAGCACTGATTCCTCCATTGAGCCAAACCCAGTGAAGAGTAGGGATCACTCCATATCCAGAAACAGAACAGAAGATGATAGGGCGGAGCCTCTGCCATTGCTGTGTGAGGTAATTGGGATGAATCTGTGCAAAGAACACTGCCAGGATCATGGCAAGCACAGTGATCAAGTATACTTGGCGCCAGTACTAGGATGAAAGGATATAAAATTTAAATTCTGTTATTAACAACAAGGGAAGGAAGAGTAATTTGGGCTTCTACATTATAATATTACAGACTCTATTTACTTGGTATTTTCATGTCCCAACAAGATTTATTTTATTTGGTCTTTTTGAGACAGGGTCTCCCTGTAGCTCCAGCTGGCCTGGGACTCATTATGTAGACCAGGCTGGCTTTGAACTCGGAGATCCACCTGCCTTTGCCTCTGGATTAAAGGCGTGCACTACCACCCTGGCCCAAGATTCTTTTCTTTTTCTTTTTGTAAAGAATGCACATTACACACAGTTGCCAAGTTCCTTAGGATGATGTCTTAATTAGCTGCAGTTGTCAACTTGACAGCCTACAGTCATCTGACAAGACAGCCTCAATTGAGGAATTACCTAGCTCAGACTGACCTGTGGCCATGTCTGTGGGGGACTGTCTTGATTATTAACTGAGGCAGGAGGCCCAGCTTACTGTGGGCAGTACCATCCCTAGGCAGGTAATCCTGAGTTGTATAAGAAAGCTGGCTAAGCATGAGCCTGTGAGCAAGCCAGAGAGCAGCATTTCCTCAGGGTTTCTGCTTGAGTTCCTGCCTAGACTTCCTTCAATGGCAGACTGTGACCTGGAAGTTATAAGCCAAATAATACCCCTCCCCAAAGCTGCCTTTCAGTAAAGTGTTTTTTTCACAACAGAAAGGAAACTAGAACATATGACAAACCAAACTTCAAAGTAAACCAATAAAAGACCACATTCTTACAAAAGCATTTTCCGAGTACCCATCAAATGTCAGGCACAGCTAAAATCCCAAAGGAACAAGGTTGACTTTGGCAAAGACTCTCCCAGTGAGTGAGCTCAGACTGTGGGAAGGCCTGCTTTGTAAACAGGATCATAATTTAATGACAATATTATAACTCAGTTACCAAAAGAATGTTGTAGACCACTGAAGCAAGAAGAGTGAATGTTACTTGGGGTAGCTACAGAGGAGAAAGAGGAGACATCTGAGCTAGTCTTGAGGAATTGGCAGAGAACACGGGAAGAAGGGGCTCTCAAGGGAAACGATCCGCAAATGCAGCAGGGAAGTTTGAGGAAAGGAGACTGAAAGGTAGGAAAGGTCATTCTAAAGATTCTAAACTGTACCATGCTAACACTGGGATTTGTTCAACAGGACGAAAGCCAGACGTGGTGGCATGTTCCTGTAATCTCAGCACTTGGAGACTGAGAAAGAGCATTGTGAGCTCAAGGTCAGCCTGAGATACATGGGGAGATCCTGCCTCAAAACAAAAACAAAATACAAAACACAAACATGAGAAAGAATCTGAATGACATGGTCATTTTTAAATGACTCATTAGTAACACAAATCTACTATCAGTAGAGAAAAGAAGTGAGAAGCCAGTTAGACAGACATTAGGGTATTTGAAATAGAGAGTGGGGGCTGTGATGAAGAATGAACACCAGATTTAGGAGGAATATTTGAAATAACGTAAGGTCTTAATGGCTGATGATCTGAGAGAGAGTGGCAGAGGGACGCTCGAATTGTTCAACTCCTTCTAGCCTGAATGGCCACATGAATGGCTCCTATTAAAGGAGGAAATGAACGAAGATGATCCAAGTTTGGAGGAAAACAGGGCGCTGAAAGAATGCTAATTTAAAATATATCAAGTTTAAAGTATATTAAGTATGAATGACAAGCTTATGAGATACTTGGTATCTAAATGAACATGTGAAAGGCTGTCTGGGGGCTCAAAAGCTGGCATCCCAAAGGATAAGAGTTCTTTATGCAGGCTCCCAGGGCTTCTGCAGACCTATTCACTTCTGGAAATCACATGTCAGACCATGTGTCCAAATGTCCCATCTCCTAGAACAACAGTCCCATTTTCAGTTTCAATCTCAAATCCATATCCCATAAGCAGTAGGAGCCACTACAGAAATTGAACGCTGGGAAGCTTTTAGAAGCCCAAGATAAGAAAGCGAATTTTTGTTTTTGTGATCATGAACTATTAGTTCCAATAGTATTCTCTCTCTCTCTCTCTCTCTCTCTCTGTCTCTCTCTCTCAGCAAGTATCACATTCTGATCAGGAAGAGGTAAACAGAAAATAATTTCAGAGAAGTATAAAACAACATAAACAAGCAATTCAAATATATGACTGCTTACAAGATCCTAGTTAGCATGTATCTTTTAATTATTTTTTTTAAGATGCACACAGGTTCATGCTAAATGAATATTATTCATTTCTGGGTAAACATGAACAGTTTAATGCTACAATCAAATCAGTTTACAAGTTAATTACATATGTATTTAATTATATACTTATGATATAATTAGGCCTGAAAAACAAATGGCTCATATCTAAGTAGATATGGTTAATAAAGGTCCTAAGATACTAAAACCTAACCTATGATTTTTTTCTTTGATAGCTTATAGCTTTGATAGTTTTTCCTACATCATGAAGAGACGCGGGTATTATTTAAGAATCCTAAACAAAAGAATCCTGTGCTGCAGGTAGTCTTCCCAACTGTCTTTCAGAGCACCCACTACATGGGGAGAGGTGATTTGGGCAGGACCAGCTCTGTTCTTCATGAAAAGAGCTATAGCTCCTAGGCACTACGCTACTCCTTGGGGAGAACTATACTTTGGGCTCTGAAAAAGAGGTAAGAGGAGAAAAGGAAAAAATAAAAATAAAAAAATATGATAGGAGAGTAAGGTTGATGGAACTTCAATATTTTGAGACAGGGTCTTGCTGTGCAGCCAGGCCTCAAGTTGAGATCTTCCTGCCTTCCCCTCCTGAGTGCTGGGATTATAGAAACAAGCTTACCACACTATAAGATAAATAGATAGATAGATGATAGATAGGTAGGTAGATAGATAGATAGGTGATAGACAGACAGGCTCAATGGGAGATAGATATAGAGAGATATAGACATAGCCATATTTATAGCTCTACTTTCCAACAGAATCAGCAAAATAATGAAATAATTATGGAATTGGTAATAGATACTAGAGAGAGATCAAAGAGACCTTTTAAAAAGTATGCCCACAAAAGACTCTTGGTTTTATTTTGTAAGCAAAACACGCATTCATAGATTTAAACCACCTCAAGAAATGTTTTAAGAGAAAGTGAAATGTTTTAAGCTACTTACATTGTTACAATAAAACGCATAAAATACTCCTGAAACATAGCAGCCCAGTATTCCAATAGAAATTCCTGCATAATCCAATGCCATCCATCTTCGACAGGTCTTTTCTGAACGATGACAGGAAAAAAGGTGATAGCCCACTGAGCAAAGCATACAGATCTATGGAAAGGAAAACAAGAGAACGAAGTGGAACAAAAAGAAATGAGGGGCACTCATGCATGCTGTTCAGGGGAACACTTAAGGAGCCGGGCTTTCAAGGCAAGCACATCCAGGCCTGATTCCAGCTTTGCCGGGCTTTCAAGGCAAGCACATCCAGGCCTGATTCCAGCTTTGCCATTTCTCTAAGCCTCTGTTTCTTCATAAGTAAAATGGGGGCAACAATCACAAAACAGGAACTTTAAAATGATAACTATTTTATAATATAAATTATAAGTGAATAGCAAAAATTGGAAAATTAATGTGATACAAATATTTTCACAATACAAATGTTTTATAATACCTTCCGAGGTTACTTTGATTCATGAATTAAGTCTACTTTTCACATTCATCACTAATTTAATATATGTCCTTTAAAAATATCAAAGAATACAGAATTGCATTATGTTAAAAAATATGTGCCTCTCCAAGGAATGTAAGTGTAGCCTGTTACCTCAGTTGTGAATGATATCACAGGGCCAGATTAATGTGAACAGTAAATCTGAAGATTAGCTACACATAAACTTAGAGAAGTTTAGGAAGTAAAGTTTGACAGGGCCGATGTCTAAATGAGGGGAATAAAGGGAAGCCCTCTCTCTTCTCAGTCAATAGCCAACAGGTAAACTGAAAAACAGTATCAGTCTTGCTCTGTATGTTAACAAAAATGGAGTCAAATTCTCTAAAGGAGCAACTAAAAACTGAAAATGTCACCTTCAGGCAGGAGTAGGACTTGGTGTGCTGAAGACATCTAGGTTCTTTTAAAAATATCCTTGTAAATTTGCTTGAAATTTTAAAGTATGTCCATATTTCTTTTCAATAAAAATAATTAAATAAAAAAAATATATATGCTTCTCTCACTCAATCTACTCTTCAGAGGTAACCACTAACAACATGTTATATATCCCTGTGATATGTATGTGCCAAGCATCTGTGATACAGATGTCTACAAACACAAGATAGATACTTTAAACTGACCAAATGGACTCCTTGTAATTCTGGTCTGTTCTACAGTTTTCTCTTTTTTATTTTTTTCTTGAGACAAGGTCTCACTATGAAACCCCAGCTGGCCAGGAACTTGCTATGTAGACCAGGCTAGCCTTGAACTCACGGAGATCCCCTACCATTGCTTCCCAAGTGCTAGGTTTAAAGGTGTGTGCCATCACACCTGGATACAATTTGATTTTTTAACTTAAGAGACTTTCTGTCCATAAGAGAAATACTATACAATTTGCTTCTAAGTTCTAAGTAAATATTGCTTTATTATCTCCATGAAAAATCATGACCTGATTTTATATGTTTGCCAACTGACAGCAAAGTTAATAATTTAGTCAGCTGCTCTGAGGACTGGTAAGGCAGGACAGAACTCCCTCTGGCCAGCAAGTACCTGCTGTGTGTGTCATGCAATTGAAGGTGATAGAAGGATGAAACCTCTACCCCAAGAGATTTCTGAGACACAAACATTGTTATATGAAGTCCTATAGGAAAAGTCAGTGTAGAATACAGTAAGAAAAGCAAGGAGGGAGAGTACTGGCTCTGTGGTGTCTCTGTAGTGGGACTGGCAGAAGGAAAAGAATTATCATAGAAAGGTGATACTTGAGTTGCATTTTCAAATTCAGTATTCATCAGAGACATGAAAAAGGTATGTACATGTTTCTGGGGGGCGGGGTCCATAAAGAAAAGCAGTACAGTGAAAAACAGACCGACACTAAAGAATGCTCTGGGGCTTTCCTCACACCATAATGAAAGCAACCCCACAAGGTGTTTTAATATCAGCTTTACAGACCACATACTGTACTACAGAAGATACTAGGTGCACCCTTACAAAGGTGTAAAGGAGAAAAGCTTAGGTGACAGGTTACAGAAATGGCCCTGGGGACAATGACAAGAGTGTATTAAGCCATCAACAATGGAGGTGGAGAAAATGGGATCATAAACAATATGAAATAGATTAGGTATTTTCTAAGCAACTAACTGCTAAGATGGCAAACGGACATCTAGTCATTTGATATTCTGTTCATTAAACAAGCCTAACCAGTTTGCACAGGCTCAATATCAGTATTCAGTAAAAACACACTTAACTACAGCTTTATTTCATCCACTGCCAGAAATCATTATTGGCCTGTGGCTTTTTGGCTATTAAACTACCAGAGTTCACTGGTCCAATTAAATGTAATGTAATGCTTATAAGTTCAGTTGTAGTCTCTGATAAAGCCTTTGGTTAAGTGCTGTAAATGTGCAGAGTACTGTGGTGAACCTTCTCGTTAACAGAGCAAGATTTCATTGTCATAGTGTATGATACAAGAAGCGGCCACAAAATAGCAAGCAGAGGTGATCTTAACTTGGAAGAGGCAGATGAGTAGGTAGGTGGGAAGATGTGAGGTAGCCATGCATGCACATGTCTGGATCAATTAAAAGCCCAAATGTCAAATGTGGTTATCTGTGGAAGTGGAAATTCAAGTGATTTTTACTTTCTTTCATAAGCTTTTATTTGCTTGACTTTTCTACATGAAATATAGTATATTTATAGTAATTATAAGAAACAGTAATAAACTTTCTCTTTTTTAAACGTTTTTTATTGTTGCTGCTTTGACAGGGTCTCCTGTAGCCCCAGCCTGCCTGGAACTCACCATGCAGACCAGGCTCCTGCCTCTGCCTTCCAGAAATCCTCCTGCCTCTGCCTCTGCCTTCCAAGTGCTGGGATTAAAGACCTGTGCCACCAGGCCCAGCATTCTTTTTATAAATTTTTTTAAAAATTTATTTTTTGTATATTTTACATGTAAGTACACCCATGCATGTAATGCCTGCAGAGGATAGAAGAAGGCGCCAGATCCCTGTAACTGGAGTTTCAGGCAATTAGCCACCATGTGGGTGCTGGGAACCAAACCCTGGTCCTCTGTAAGAGCAGCCAGTGGTCTTAAGTGGTGAGCCATCTCTCCAGCCCCCAGGTGTTAATCTTAAAGCTGAGGTTTCTACAAAGGTTAAAAAAAGCAAAGTATGGTGGTATATACCTATAATTCTAGCACTTAGGGAGGAAGGAAGCTGGGGCAAATTCAAATTCAATGCTATCCTAGCCTACACAGTGAGGCTCTGCCTCAAATCCAGAGAGGGTTGGGAACATTTTTCCCCAATCTTAAGAACTTAGTGGATTTCAAATATTTTTTAATAATAACATTCAAATGTCGGGCCTGGTGGTGCACGCCTTTAATCCCAGCACTCAGGAGGCAGAGACAGGTGGATCTCTATGAGTTCGAGGCTAGCCTGCTCTACATAGTAAGTTCTAAGCCAGCTGGGGCTACAGGGAGACCCTATCTCAAAAAGACCAAAATAATAATAATAATGATGATGATAACATCCAAATATATGAGAACAAGATTTTTGTGGTGTTTATGTTTTAAAAGCAACTAAGCAGTTCCCTGTGCCCTCTGGGGGATCTTCAAAGCCACTGGTGGGGCTAAGTAAGATCACCTGCCCAGGCCTGCCTCATCAAAGTTCTCTTTACCTCAACAGTGTTTGTGAAATGACTCACCTGGAAGCAGAAAAGACAAATAGAACAAATGACAAAATCTTCTCTGGATGCACTTGCAGAAGGTAGCACAGATGTCATGTCATATATTCCCAGGGTGAAGAAGAGAAAGAAACCCAGCAAATGACTCCAGATGTTTACAGTCTCATTTGATAAAATAAACAAACTGGAAAGTAAGCAAACATACATTTCAGATTCACACTGGCTCACAGTGTCAGCATTCAAAAGCGAGGGACAGTTTGGAATTGCCTAATACTTGCTACTTTGGGCCCTTAACCTCACCTGTGCCTTTCTAAACTTGATATATCATTTAGTCAATATTCCTATAGTTCTCTCCCATTTCTGCTAATTCTGGGCTCTTACCACTTTTTTGGTGTGGACTCTATGAATATACCATCTCTTTCCTTCTATTGCATCACTGTTCTAAGCAGAGTGCCCTGCTCAAACTACTCGCTGTCTACAGAAATGCAGTCTGTAGACACAAACTGGATCTTAGCTAGAAAACTCAGGAATAGCTACCTAAGACACTGCTCAGTGTAAGCTTAAGTACAAACTTAAAATACCTTTTAAAGGACTTGTTAAATACAAATACAGGGTCAAATGCATTTAAGAGAAGTAAAATACATACAAATTAATCCACTGGAAAGGTTCTTTAAAATAGGCGTGCCAGAACAACTTTGCTGTGGATGCCCTGAAACCAGTTTCCAGGTGGCATGAGTTTACTGTTTTTGGAACAATAGGTTACTTTGAGTATGGGTGCTATCTGTCCTCTCAAACATCCCAACTAACTAACAGGTCTTGGCAGTATAGGCTGGTGGGGAACACACCACCCTGACCAGGAGCCAAGAAGCTCACTAGCCTCTTCCAACCTGGGCACAGATGAGCTCTATTTGCTAAGTGGGTCACTTCTCTGAGCTTCAGTTTCTTCATCCTAGAGCAAAGGAGCTAGATTAGATGCTGCTACTTTCTTCCAGTGCTTCCTGCATTCTGAGAAATGGTTCTTTATTATAAGGTGCTAAATGACTGAAGATCAGACAGTGCTGCATTTCTCCTGCAAAATCTAATCTTTTGGTTACACCAAGGTCTTGACCATTTCTGAATCAGAAGTTCTTATTATTAAGGCGTGACTGGCCATCTGCAACCATCACTGTGGCTCTCTTCTCCCTTTCACAAATAAAAACCACAGTAATATCTCAAAAGATCACCAAAAATAAAGTAAATCTTGTATCTGGAAATTCAGACTTTATCTTGTTTAACATCAAATATAAAGACAATAACTAGGAAAGTTGAACTAAAAGAATGTTCTAGAAAACATCTAATCTTGGGACTGTTTTGGCAATCAACATTTCATTCTGCCTACTGCCTCGGAAGTTTTCATTTTGACAAAACCCAGTATAACCTGATTAACTAAACACAGAATGGTCGGACATACACAACCTCTCCATATGCAAAATCTGTCCTTGCCACTCTTGAAAGTTAAGTAAGAGAGCAATCGCCAAACCTGGATAAGATTAAGTTAAGACGATCTCTTGGAAGAACATCCTCAACAGAGGATACACTTCTATTACAGGAAAAGTTAGGCACCCTCAAATTCTGTTCATTTCTCCCAACACCTAGGAGGCAGAGGCAGGCATATCTCTGTGAGATCGAGGCCAGCCTGGTAGATCCAGGCCAGCTGTGGCTACAGAAGACCCTGTCTCAAAAAAAAAAAAAAAAAAATTCTGTTCATCCAATAAGCAATAATTATCTTCATTACCATCATGTTCAAAATCGTTGTGGATAACAGTAACCATATATTGAGTGCTTACTAAGTGCTAGGTCCAGAGAGGTTAACTTTCCATAGCTGTTAAGAGGTGGGCTTTTGTTGATGAAAGAGTTGAAGATCTGATGCTTTTCCTGCCCCACAGGATCTGAAGCAGAATGCAGAGGACCACTGTAAGGTGGGCATAAAACATTTACAGCAGTTCACTGTCATCCCTGTCCTCCTGGAATACCATCTCCGCAGCAGGGCTTACCTCTGATTTCCTATGTAATTATACACAAGAGGCACTGGGGAGTAAAGCAGTAATTAGGATTCAAATTGTGACATCCAGTTGGTTGTCCATTCAAGTAATGTCACAAAAATACTTTTTAAGGCAAGATAAGACTACAAACGGAAAATAGGGAAAGACCATGATGGATAGATCAAAAAACAACCCACTTTCAGAACTTCAGTTTGCCACACCAGTGACCTAGAGCCTAAGCCTCTGTATCTTCATTCTGCTGGAGTATTTTGACAGAAGGCTAACTCAGAAAACCAAAAAAACATGATTTTTCAGATTTGTCTTTTTAAAAGCACAGGCCTTCAGTGACTATGGTTTTAAGGAACTACAATGATAAATCCCTTTCTTCGAGATGCTCCCACGGTGCTGTCGTGGAGACTAGGTGTCCCTTACAGCTCTCTCTTTGCTACAGGGCTTTTTCTACACAGCACTTCCCACAATGACTATTATGTAATCTTGTAATTATCTCCTTAGTGTCTGTCACCCAGGCTAGACCTTAGTAGCTTCATGGGAACAAGGGCCACGTCTGCTGTTTTCTGCAGGATCTGGTACAGTGCCTACCACCTAGCAGGGGCTCCGTATATTTGCTAGATGAATGAATCGGGCGTTTCCAAGAATATGCACAGCATATGGACTGGTTCCCTATTACACAGCTGGCCAAAGCATCTGGATTCCCACAGGGCTGCTCTACAAACAAAGCTCAGTTATACCGAAGGTAAATAATGGTTCGTCCATTGTCAGTGTGTTCGACTCCAATACGTAACCCAGAAAGCACCACAAGGAATAAAGGATGTAAAAGCGCTTCGTAAACAGCAAAGGGCCACAGGAGAGCTGGCAACGATGACCATTATTAGTATCGTTGTGCCCTGAATCAAGTGCCCCCGGCGGGGCTGGAGAGGAGACGGCGGCAAGAAGAGATGAAAGGATGGGAGGCGAGGAAGGGATGCGCAGAGAAACGCGGGGGAAAGAGGCGGGGATACCAGACAAAAAGCCTGCGAGAGGAGGGGGCGCGGAGCGGCCGCACTGTACCTCTTAATACACAGCCTGGAGGGCAGGTAGGCACGGTAGCCGTCGGTGATGTATGGGTTGTCTTTGAGGGACACCGGGATCTGCTCGTAGGTGTAGAGCCGGATGCCGCGGGGCACCAGCACAGGCCAGTACTGGTAGCTGCCCAGCTCGATGTAGTGGGCGCTCTTCAGCAGCTTTTGATGCATGGTCCCGGGAGCTGGCCCGGCCCCACCTCCCCGGGGAGGGGGCTTCGCCGCTGGAGCCCCCGCCCCGGAGCCTGCCGCCGCTGCGCGAGGTGGTGCCGGTCGCCGCTGCCCAGGTCGGGCTCCGCTACTCACCGCCGCCTCCTCTGCACCGGCGGACTGCCGGCGTCGCAGCCCTCCCTGACGTCAGCGCGCAGCGCAGCCCCTCCCGCCACCGCCTCGCCCCTCCCACCAGGCCGCCA